GTCGGGTCTACGCGGACTGTGGACCGAAGAGCACAGCTCTTGCTCCTACCCCGGCGTCCGCGCTCCTGGGGGCCCCACGAGCCAGGGCGCTCCAGCAGGGCAGACACGCCGAGCTCACCTGTGAACCCCAGCCCCAGCACCCGGCCCGGCACGTTGGAGGAGCCGGCGGCCGCGCGTGATGGACGTGGTTTGGCAGAGCGCCGCCTCCTCTGCCCGGCCGGGCTGGAGGACCCTGTCACGCAGTCAGCAATGCCAACGGCTCTAGAACGCTTACTAAGTACAAGGCAGGGCACTGCTACCCAGGAGAGAACTCTGCATCCTCACCTCCCCCGGCTGCGTGGAGCGCGTCAGAGCCGGGGGCTGCGCGGACATCGTCGTCTCCCCGGCGGGTCCGGCGCGGGGTCCCGAGGCCGGGGGCCCCTCCTAGGGCGAGCGCTGGCCCCCGCCGGATCACTCAGCGCGTCGCGCCGGGAGGGGGGCGCGCCGGGGCAGCCCCAGCATCCGGAGCGCCCGGGTCCGATCCCAGAGGCGGCTCTCGGCGAGAAAAGGAAGGAGGCAGGCACCGAGGTGGCGGCTTGGGGCCGCAGGAGCGCCGGAGGGTAAGGGCGGGAGCCAGGCGCGGGCGCTTCGACGCCCCCCCTCGGAGAGGAGAGCCTGCTGTTCCGTCTGCTACTGCCGCCGCTGCCGCCGCTGCAAACCTTCCCAGGGCCGAGGAGGAAACTCCGGGCTCAGTAGGTGCAAATCAACCTCCCAGGCATCCTAACTCCAGTGGGCACAGGAAGCCTCCGCAAAGGGGTCCTCGCTGCTCCCAGCTCGAACGCCGCGTCCCCAGCGAGGAGCGCTCGGCGCCGCCGCCGCCTCGGAGCGCGCAGGAGGAGAGTGCTGGAGAGGAGACGCAGCCCGAGACCGAGGAGCTCTGCGGCTTCCTTCCTTCCCCTCAGCCCGGCTCTCCTCTCCGCGCCCCGACAAACCCCCTAAACACACACCCAACACACACACATACACACACACCAAAAAAGTGCCCCGGACCTGCGGATACCACACACAGACAGGCGAGGGGGACGAGCACGAGGTCTGAACTGCCGCGAGAGCAGTTCCAAATAGGGACTGAAAAGTAACAAAATAATGTGGCAGCTTCGCCCGGCGCTGGCCAATGGGAACGCGGGGTCCCCACGTGGGGCAGCCGGACTCGGCCTGCGACTGGGCGCCGCCGGGCGCGACGTCACAATGCCCTCTTGTGTCTAAAACTATGCATGAAAAGTAGCAATCAGGCCCTACCCGCTGGTGACTTTCGCATGGGAGTGAAAAACAGCGCTCCTCAGATCGGGAATTAACCGAAAGACATATAATAAATAGATATATATTATAGTCCTGGGCTGCTAGAGTTTTTTCCGCCCCTTTTTTTTCCCACGATCTACTAGCAAATAATTATTTGGCAGGAGGGGGAAAGAGAGAAGACAGAGGAATAACAACAAAAGAAAAAAAACCAAGCGGTACAGTCCTCAAAACCTGTGGCTGGTAGTAATGTATCAGTTTATTCTGCAGTGGCGGCGAACGATTCCTCCCTCTAATCTCATTAGGTCTGCAAAGCAGCCCAATTAGATACTATAAAACAAACAGAATCACTTTGTCACTTTAATGTTTTCACTTCACAAGATTTAGGACCGATAAAATGGAGGCTCCCAAAGTTGCCTCCCACCTTAAAAAATTTGCTCGGAACTGAGGGTGCCCTTTTCTTTACCCCTTCTCCTGCCCAGCCCGCCCCCACCCCCCACTGGCCCCCAGCTTTTCTTCTTTGTTCATTCGTCCTTCTTTTCAGAAAGCCAAATAAACAGCGTCTTTGATGTGCGGCGGCTGCCTGCGAGAAGTCTGAGGCACTCTTGCTCGGCGGGCAGCGCAGATGGAAGGGCCCGGCTGCCCGCGGACGACCGGCTCAGTTCGCGCTGTCCCCCCTCGGGGCTCCTTCCCGGTGGGGACAGCGACGCCCTTGCGGCAACTGCGCGCTGGGGCCGGGGGAGCCGAGTGGGGGATGGGGTGGCGGCCCGGCACCGCCGCGGCCCGGAGCTCCGAGTTCCGACCCGGTTTACTCGGCCTGCCTGCGGCAGTGTCACAGCGTCGGCGGAAGCCTGTGGAGGGGCACGTGTGCGAGTCTGTGGGTGTCTCGGCCGCTAGCCTCGACGCCCCGGGAAGTGCAGACTCTCGCCCACCCCCGCCGTTGCCTCCAGGGCTCCCGCGCGGTCGCACAGGCCACTTGACTCCGGGGGCCGGTTTGCCCGCAAACCGATAGCCTAGATCTCCTGCGCTCGAGGTTACCTCAGGGCACCCGGGCCACAGGGACGCGGCCCTCGAGCTGCTCAGAAGCTGCAGCGGCCGCACCCCAGACCCCGCAGCCACCGCAGGTAGGCGGGCCCAGATGGACCCCCGGGTCCCTCCCGGGCATGTCCGCGAAGCAGCACACACCCCGCGGCGACGGCGGGCGCGCGCGAGCCGGCCGCGCGCCCCCGGATCTATATTTTCCCCTCATTAGGAGCCGGAGTTCGCTTTTGCATCTTAATGAGGAGCTGAGAGCGAGCGGGCGCTCGGAGGCCGGTGCGCAGGGAGTTACACGTGAGTGCCCGCCTCGGAGTTGCACCTCCCCTCGCCCGCTCCGGCCGCCAGCCCCGAAACGCGCTCTTCTCTTCATTTATTTATTCTCCTAAATAAAAACATAAATCGTGTGCGGCGCGCACCGAAGAGGGGGTGGGGAGAAGCTGGGCTCCACAGATGCGAGCATCTGGCCGCAGCATTCATTAGACACAAAATGGCTCCTCTTTGGAGCTTCCTTTTCCCCCTCCCCCTTCTCTGCCCTCCCCCTTACGTCACGGGTGGGCGCACCCGCTTCCTACCCGCCCCGCCCCTTTCTCGCTCCCGCTCCCACGTGGGGGCCGCTGACCCCGCCCCCGAGCGAGGCCCGGCAGACCAATCAGAGACCGCTGATGGGACTCTCCGTTACTGATTGGTGAAACTGCCGGGAGCTGTCAGTCCGCGGCCAGAGCTGTCAGTCAAAACCACGCGGGATGGGGGAGCGCTGACAAATGCCGAGGCTTCTGAGCCTCCCGCTTGCAAATAGTGCTTGGAATGGCTGCTTAATTAGCTTTGAATGGCTTTTCCTTCCAGCTCAAACAATCTGTCACTACCATGTGGTATAAAGGAGCCATGCATAAAAAAGTAAGCAGAGGCTAAATATCAATTTGATTTTGTGTATCAAAGGAATATTTAATTTTTCTCCCTAGTAATGAAACGTATCAATTTAAATAATAAAAGGTAAAAAAACACACACACAAACCACAAAAAAAAAAAAAAAGAAAGAAAGAAAAAAGAAAA